GGGCAGGAACGTCAGCAATTATGTGGGCAGGAGCAGGGATACAAGCAGAGACAGGGATATAGGCAGTGCTACTGGCAGGGACATCGACAGGGGCAGAAATGGGGATCGGAGCAGGGATTTGGGCAGGGATACAAGCAGGGACAGGGATACAGGCAGGAAGAGGAGCAGAGCAGGAGCAGGGTTATGGGCAGGTGTGCAGAAAGGGTAGGAACAAGCACGGGAGAAGGAAGTGGGCAGGGAGAGGGGAAGGGAAGGGACCAGCAGCAGGGACAGGAGTACAGGCAGGGGCAGGTGTCCCAAAATTACAAGTCATTCTTTATGGGGCGTCCCAGCCAAATTGGGGCACCTCAAATATGGTTTTACACGGGGCTTTCACACCCTTGCAGCGCTGGGGTACAGCACGGTTTGACCAGCCCCTGCCCATCCCTGCCCACTTCGCAAAGTCACTGCAATTCTAGGGCACCATCGTCCTCCCTTTCTCCCCCGGCGGTCCCTGCAGCCAGCCTCGCTACAGCTCCTTATCTGGGAGGCCAGGAAGCAGGACAAGGTGCCGGTCTTATCTGGGGAGCCCCGGCAGCCTTCACCCCTTGGGGTGGGGCTCTCCTCCTCCTTGCAAGGAGCTGGAGCCCTGCGGCCAAGCCTGCTGAGCCACGGCTGTGCAGCGGACAACGCAAACCACAGACAGACCCCGCTTAAGAGACGCGGTGCAATTTCACACCACGAAGACCAATGTTTTACAACAGTCAGGGAATGGGATTTTTCCCAACAAGACGCAGGCAAGGACGGCGGCAGGAGCAGTAACAGGCCAGGGGTGGAAACAGCGACAGCAGCAGGGGTAGGGGCAGGGGGCAAGGACAGGGATCGGGACCGCGGGAAGGGCCGGGACACGGCCCGGCCCGGCCACTGCCCCACACCCAGCGCCCCGCGCATGCGCAGATGGTGGCGGGCGCTCCCAGGGGGCCGCGCGGAGGGGGGCGGGGCCAGGCCCCGAGGGGGCGGGGTCTGCGGGAAGCCTGCTGCTCATTGGGGATGGCATAATGGAACTTAAAAGGACTTGC